TTTTTTTTTTTTGGTTGCAGCCATCATTGTTGTTTGGCTGGCCCAGGCTGGATACGAACCGGCCACCTTAGGTGTATGTGGCTGGCCCTTAGCAGCTTGAGCCATAGGCGCCAAGCCAAAGAAATTATTTTTCAACTCAGTGCCTGATGAATACCCTCAAGACATAAATGTATAGAAAACAATTCTACCTTTTGAAACTTCTTTCTGAAGTACTTTTTATTTAAGAATGGAGACTTAAAAGTGCTTGCTTGCCAAATGAAGTCTCCTCAGGTGTACCCCCTCTGCCCTTGCAATTGCCTTGCCCTGTGAATCTACCTTCCAGTGGTCTGGATCCTGGGATTTTTTTTTTTTTTTTTTGCAGTTTTGGCTGGGGCCAGGTTTGAACCCGCCACCTCTGGTATATGGGGCCGGCACCCCAGTCCTTGAGCCACAGGCACCACCCGGATCCTGGGATTAACAGACTTCAGCTTTTGTTCTATGATCCTAATTTTGTTTGGGTTCTGCTTATTGTACAGACATTTAAAAACAGTAATTGTGGAGGGAAAGTAATAAAAACTTGTTTTGAGATTTTTCTTCTTAGCTCCAGAACAGAAATTCTGTGAGAGTTTGTATAGAATATTTTCCCTTTAGTAATAATGACAATAATTTGCCATGCTTTAGGCTAGGGGTGTCCAGCCTTTTGACTTCAAAGAAGAAGAGTTGTATGGGCCAAATATTAAATACACAATCACTATAAATAAATAAACACAAATGAAAGCTGATAAGCAGAAAGAAAGGTCCATGAATAATTTTCATGATACTCACCACTACAAATAAGCACAAAAGTCCTCACATACTAATCCTAATTAGGCAGCAGTCCACTGAAAGTATTTTAAAATCTTCAGGCAGATCCTGAGTTTGTGATTACTAATGTAGAAAATGTATGTATCAAAGTAATAAAATGACTTTGAGGGTTTTTTGATGTTTTTTATTTATTTATTTTTAATAGTATACTGCTTTGGTTACTATATTTTTTTCTTTTTTGTTTTTATTTATTTATTTATTTATTTTTAGACAGAGCCTCAAGTTATCCCCCTGAGTAGAGTACCTTGGCATCACAGCTCACAGCAACCTCCAA